TCCCTCCTCCCTCCTACTTATCCTCCCTCCTCTCCCTCCTCGAGGCCGGGGGATTGTGGAGTCGCTGCTGGTTTTAGACGAAAGTTTACGATATTTCACTTTGTTCCTCATCATTATGCTGATGTTTCCTTTCTCGTTTTCTCTCTCTCTCTCTTTCTCAATCTCTCCCACTCCCATTCCCATTCCATTCCCATTCCCAATACCATTACCATTACCATTCCCATCCCAATTCCCATTCCCATTCACATTACCGTTACCAGTACCATTACCTTTACCTTTATCTTTACCTCTACCTGTACCATTACCATTACCATTGCCATTACAATTGCCAGTGCCATTACCATTGCCATTACAATTGCCATTACCATTGCCATTACCATTGCCATTGCCATTGCCAGTGCCGTTGCCATTGCCATGATATTACCATTGCCAGTCGCCACCCCGTTACCATTACCGTTACCATTACCATTACTCTTCCCATTCCCATTACCATTTGCCACCACCATTACCATTGCCAGTATCATTAGCATTACCAGCACAATTGCCATTACCATTACCATTACCGCTGCCATCACAATTACAATTCCCATTCCCATCATCATTGCCATCACCATTACCGTTACCAGTACCATTTCCATTACCATTGCCATTATCTTTCCCACTACCACTACCATTTCCATTCTCTTCCCGTTCCAATTACCACTACGATTCCCATTCCCATTCCCATTCCCATTCCCATTCCCATTACTATTACCATGACCATAACCATGACCATGACCATTACCATTGTCATGGCCACTGCTATTGTCATTGCCGTTGCCGTTGCCATTCCCATTACCATTGCCAATCGCTACCCCGTTACCATTGCCATAACCATTACCATTACCGTTATCGTCACCATTACCATTCCCAGTACCATTATCATTACCACTGGCATTGCCATTACCATTACCATTGCCATTGCCATTGCCATTGCCATTCGCCACTACCATTACCATTGCCATTCGCCACTACCATTACCAATACCATTGTCATTGCCATTGCCATTCGCCACTACCATTACCGTTGCCATTACAATTACCATTCCGATTCACATTCCCATTCCCAATACCATTACCATTACCATTACCATTACCATTACAACTGCCATTGCCATTACCATTACCATTACCTTTACCTCTACCTTTATATTTACCCTTACCCTTACCATTCCCATTTCCGTTATCACTACCACTGCCATTTCCATGCCAGTTCCCATTCCCATTCCCATTCACATTCCCATTCCCGTTCCCATTCCCATTCACATTATCATTGCCATTACCATTACCATTGCCATTGCCATGGCCATTACCATTGCCATTGCCATTGCCATTCCCATTGCCATTGCCATTGCCATTGCCATTGCCGTTGCCGTTGTCATTGCCATTGCCAATCGCCACCCCGTTACCACTATCATTACCGTTACCATTACCAGTACCATTACCATTACCTCTGTCATTACCATTACCATTCGCATTGCCATTGCCATTGCCATTAGCCGCTACCATTACCATTGCCAGTACCATGTCCATTGCCATTCCCATTCTCATGACCATTACCATTACCATTACCATTACCATTATCACTATCATTTCCATTACCATTACCTTTACCTCTACCTTTACCTTTACCCTTACCCTTATCATTCCCATTTCCGTTACCACTACCACTACCATTTCCATTCCCGTTCCCGTTCCTATTCCAATTCACACTCCCATTCCCGTTCCCATTCCCATTACCATTGCCATTACCACTACACTTAACATTGCCGTTGCCATTGCCATGGCCATTATCATTGTCATTGCCATTGCCAATCTTATTGCCATTGTCATTACCATTACCGTTGCCATTGTCATTGCCATTGCCAATCGCTACCCCCTTACCATTACCATTACCGTTACCATTATCAGTACCATTACCATTACCATTACCATCACCTTTGCCATTGCCACTCGTCACTACCATTACCATTGCCAGTACCATTTCCACTCCCATTCCCATTACCATGATACTACCGCTGCCATTACCATTAGAATTCCTATTCTCACTCCCATTCCCAATACTATTACAACTTCCATAACCATTACCATTACCATTACCAGTGCCATTACCATTACCACTACCACTATCATTTCCATTCCCGTTCCCGTTCCCATTCCCACTTCCATTCCCATTACCATTACCATTACCACTGCCATTGCCAGTACCATTACCATTACCATTACCATTACCATTACCATTACCATTACCTTTGACTCTACCTTTACCTCTACCCTTACCATTACCATTGCCATGGCCATTGCCATTGTCATTGCCATTGCCATTGCCATTCCCATTGCCATTGCCATTGCCATTACCATTACCATTACCGTTGCCATTGCCATTGTCATTTCCTCGCTACCCCGTTGCCACTATCATTACCGTAACCATTACCATTACCAGTACCATTACCATTACCATT